AAAGACTGACGGCTAAGGGATTCAGGGTTTCTCTCAGTGAGAAAATACTCTAAAACTAACTGTGGTGACGGTTGCAGAAGTTTGCAAATATACTAAAAACCACAGAATTATACACTTCCAAAGAGTTTTATGATATGTAAATTATATCCCAATAAAAAAATGAAAATTTTAAAGTGTAAAAGTTTATCCTAGCATAGGAAGCCAGTAGCTTTCAAAATATAAATAAGACATCCTAACAAAAAAAAAAACCAAAACACATAGCCCATGTTTTTATAAAACTATTAATTTGTCTCTAAAGTTCAGTTAACAAAAAGGTTTAAGTTTTTAACACTAAGCCACTAAACAACAAAAGAGTACTTACGACTTCTATTTCCAGTAAGTTATTCTTATTTTCAAGTGTTCTCACACGACTGGTAGCTTCATTCAGAGCACTATCTAAATGGCCACATCTAAAAACCATAAATTGAAACAAAAAATTAGAAGATAAAATCCTTTCCCTTAAAAGCATGCTATAAATCTCATTCTCTAATATGTAAACAAATTCTCCAATGTTAGTGAACACTAAGGATGTCATTTTAATAAATACATCCCAATAAAATTGATGATACTATTTTCCAGAGAAAATAACAATATGAAAATATCCCTAATAGTTAAGTGAAAAAAGCTAAAATATGAACAGACATTTGTACACCCATGTTCACAAAAGCAAAATGCACACAAGCCGAAAGATGGAAGCAACCCAAGTGTCCAGAAGGATGAATGGATAATCAAAGTTGGTTTATCCATCCAATGGAGTAGTACTCAGCCCTAAAAAGGATGAAATTCTAGGGGTACTTGGGTGGCTCAGTTGGTTAAGCATAGACTTTTGATTTCAGCTCAGGTCATGATTCAGATTGGTGAGATCAAGCCCCTCATCGGGCTCTGTGCTGGGCATAGAGCCTGCTTGAGATTCTCTCTCTCCTTCTTCAAAAAAAAAAAAAAAAGGGATGAAATTCTAACACCTGCTATAACATGGATGAACCTTGAGGGCATTATGCTAAGTGAAACAGGCCAGACACAAAAGGACAAGTATGATTCTACTTATACGAGGTTCCCAAGTTCACATGAGGTGTCAAATTCATAGGAAGTAGGATGCTGGGTGCCAAAGGCTGGAGAGTTGTTGCTTAATGGGAACAGGGGTCAGGTTTGCAAAATGAAAAAGTTCTTGGGGCACCTGGGTGGCACAGTCAGTTAAGCATCTGCCTTTGGCTCAGGTCATTATCCCCGGGTCCTGTAATCGAGCCCTGCATCGGGCTCCCTGCTCCACAGGGAGCCTGCTTCTCCCTCTCCCTCTGCCTGCCGCTCCCCCTGCTTGTGCTCGTTCTCTCTCTCTCAAATAAATAATATCTTTTAAAAAATTATATTTAAAAATACAGGATACAGAAGACTGCATAAAATAGCTTGATCTTTGTTACAGAAAAAAACCTATATATACATCTGTGCATTATGATTTCTAAGATATAAAACTTAAGTTTGGAATGTAAGCATAGAGGTTGGGTAGGGAGACCTTTCATATTGCATCCCTCTGTACTTTTCCAAATTAGCATGAATGTATTATTCTTATAATTAAAGACCTTCGTAAAGTCAATCATCACAGAACCTCAAAATCACAAAATACACATTAGGATTCTGTTATCATTTTGACTCTGTGTTAATGAATTGTGAATAAAAGCTAATATCTATTTGGCACTGATTACATGCCAAGCCTATGTTAAGCACTTTACATTCATCCTATGAGTTAGGACTGCTATCATTTTACAGATGAGAAAACAGAGAAGCTGAATTCCTCCTGGATTGTAAGCAATCGCTGGGATTTGAAACCTGTCAGTGTGACTCCAGAGTTCACGCTCCTAACCACTGTGCATTAATGCCCTGCAGAAATCAAATACTGATAAAACTGCTCCTGAAAGAGGGCGCCTGGGTGGCTCAGTCATTAAGCGTCTGCCTTCCGCTCAGGTCATGATCCCGGGCTCCTGGGATTGAGCCCCGCATCGGGCTCCCTGCTCAGCCAGAAGTCTGCTTCTCCCTCTCCTTCTCCCCCTGCTTGTGTTCCCTCTCTCACTGTGTCTCTCTCTGTCAAATAAATAAATAAAATCTTAAAAAAAAAAACAAAAAACTGTTCTTGAAAGAGAGCACCAAAGAGTCAAGTGTAGGTATGTTAACTATAATTTTCTATTTTAACCACCACACCAATTGTGGTAGGAGACCATGTGACAGAACAATCTGAGACCACAGCTGGCCCACAATGTGTCAGTGGCCCCATTTGCAGTACCAGGGGGATTCTCCCACTTGCAATTTTAAGTCTGAAAAAACCTGATGTGTATGCTGACAAGTTAAAATTGGCTTTGTCTTAGGTCAATCATTTCTCCAGTCCCGGGTGACGGCTCTCCATACCCGGCCTTCCGCGCCCCTCCTGCTGCTGTGGCCTTCGATCCTGCCTTCCAATTCGTCCCACCTACATCACCTCACCGCTCTAGCAGCCTCCGGACAAAAAAAGTGCTTTCCTCAGCTATCCTGTCCTAGGCGCCTTCTCCGGCAGCCTATCGTTAACCTAAGGAGGCCTACTGGGGGGCTGCTTTCACACTTCCGTTTTCCACAGGAAGTACCTGTAGTCCTCTTTGCCTTCTTAAAAACAACAAAAAAAACAAGAACCGACTTCCCCTAGCCTGCCAGCTACTCTTTTCCTTTTATCCTAGAAAACCTAAACCTGGCTTCTTTCTGGCTTTTTTCAAACTACTGCTCTTTACCACTGCACCCCCAGTCCCAGGCCCACCCCCAGCAGCAAATGGAAGCTGCAGTAACTCCCAGGAATAAGACAGCCTGTTAACTACCACAGCAACAGCAAGCTAGTATAAAGGCTAGTTTACCTAGAATTCTGCAAGTTAAACTATTAACTGGACCAGATGATTTCAGTTCCCTCCTAATCTTTTCTCAAGGGGCTTTGTCTTTGTCTGCCTTAGAGAACAATTGTTTGCTGCTATATCAACCTCAGCAGTTTTCAATCTGTTTAAGTCCCATTTAAATGTAAAATATGTAGCAAATACGCTGTTATTACAGTTAGAGCATCGAATTTTGTTAATGATTCTCTAAAAGAGGTATTCGGCTATCCTTAACGTAATTGTCCCCTGTGATTCCATGTTGGTTTCTTTTTTCAGCAGGATAATTGCTTCCACATGTTCATGAGTGTCTGGATTAAGTTATGTGAAATCTGGGTTTAAGAAAAGATTGAGAACTGCTCAAGGACGTTAGTCAGAGATTTCTTAGGAAATCCATCCACAGTTCTAATCCACCCATAAATGACATTCCTTTAAATATACAAAATCTGCTCAACTATTTCAGTATTTTAGCTGTATGAAACAAATGCCCTCATGTCAGCTACCAGTTTGCTATATAAGGTTGGTTCAAACCTATAAAAATACTTAGGCAAATATATCTGTTAAAATTTTCAAATCTAAAACATGTTTTCAAACTCTTTTATCACAATATAGTATACTTGGAAAAAATAACATATCCAAGTTGGAGAAACACTAACTTTATAGTTGAATTAGAAATTTTACCTGTCTACAAGAATTTGGTTGGTTTTCTTCCAATCTTCAACTGCAGAAATTTCCTTTGCCTCCAGTTTCTGTTTCAAACTATTTATTTCTGATTCATAATAAGCTCGAAGATCCGCTATGTGTCGAGCATGCTTTTCCTTCAGGTTCTGCCTAATTCTGTTGTTGAGGGCAAAAAAATTTTTTTAGGAGAGCATTTACTCACTCTCTATCCCACAAGAGAAACCAAGAACATAATCTCTCGTAAGCAAAAGTACAGCCTTTTTCCTCTGCGCACCCACATAAAACATAATAGATTAATACACACGTTGACAACTAATTAAGCAAAAAATGAAAGACGTGGATTAATTTTTAGATGTTCTACCTTAAAAATGCTGTATCTCTAAGATTTTATACATTAGGGAAGGTCAATAAAAATCATTTTCATCATTCAAGCAGACGTCATACAAAATCGATTAACATTACAAGCCATGCACTGAATACATACTTGGACAATATCACAGGATCTTCCAGGGAAGCCAAGGAAATGCATTCTGGGACACTGCTGACTGTCCCTGGAAGCTGGGACTGACTGACTGAGGCTGAGGTTACCATGACAGTGTTTTCTTCATCTATAGTGTTGACCGAGATGTCATTACTAGTAATAGTATAAACTGAAGGATACGTGGAACTGGTCCTACTTTCATTTTGGAATCCATGATTTTTCCAAGAGTCCACTGGTGAAGCTTTTGTATTTGAAGGATATTTTGGGAATCCAGATAACTGAGAAGCAATATTACTTGCTTGTGAAAATGAGTCTATGTCAGAGTGACTAGACATACTAGGTTCTAGAACAGAGTCTGGTGAAAAGGATATTCTGTCATCAAGGACATTCAAAAAGCCTTGTGGTTGAATCCCTGAAATCTGCTGATTTGGCTTCATGTGTAACGTTGGATCTAGAGTTAGTACCTAGAAATAAGACAGACAACAGTAAGGTTTTGCCCTCAGTACTCAGTGTTTGTTTTTAAGTGAGTAGGCTTTAGATCTCCTGGGGAAAATTGTTTTTAAGTGAGTAGGCTTTAGATCTCCTAGGGAAAATAAAGCTTAAGATGAAAGTTAAGAGCCATAAAGCATCTTTCATTTTCACTCAGCAGAGTGTTGACAATTTACCTCTGGTGGATGATTTGGGTTGGAAGCAGAAGTGAGATTCCTCTCAGGTAACTGCTTGTTTTCCCTTTGTTTTTTATGATAAATATCCTTTAGTGATGGTAGCTTCATCTCATTAATAGTATTAGACTTAAAGATATGAAACAAAATTTAAATAGTATTATCAACGATGAAAAAAGTTTACTGATATCAAGATCAGCACCACAAAAAGATTTCTGGAAGATTTTAAATGAATTGAGACTCTAGACTTTCGGACTTATAAAACAAATTTAGAAGTCATTACCTGTTAATTATGAGTCTTCCTCAGAATGAAAAAAATTAATATCCCCTAACAATAAATATTAAGGTGATAATCTGAACCTAAGTTATTTAGTAGCCTAAGAATACGTCTAAAGAATAAAAAACTTTGGTAGTGCCCCTACTCAAGATAAAAATCAAGTTTTGAGGTAAGAAAAGACTTCATCATGAATGACCAAAGCAGGATGAGAAGACTTCTGGCTAAATTAGTATCATGTGACTCAAGAGGACAGGTATAGGGGTATCTATATAGTTATTTTCCTATTTTTTTTAAAGGTTTATTTATTTTAGAGGGAGGAGTGAGCACACGCACACAAGCAGGGGGAGGGGCAGAGGGGGAGAGAGAGACAGAATCCTCAAGCAGACTCCCCATTGAGCGAAGGACCCCCCCGCCCCGCCCACCACGTGGGGCTCAATCCCAGGACCCTGAGATCATGACCTGAGCCGACATCAAGAGTTGGACGCTCAACCAACTGAGCCACCCAGGCGCCCCCTCTTTCGCTTTTTTTCTGTGTTGGCATACATAAATAAAACAAAAAAAAAAAAAAAAAAGGGTTAAGATACAAGTTACCCTATGGAAATAAGCCCCTTTTAAAAACTCATAAAATAAGAAGATATGACCCTAATTTCTACAGCTTGAAATCAGTGCTCTGCCACACTGGGAATGCTACAAAGAGGTCTAAGCTCCAAACATTAAAACCTCAGCCTTAAATTATTTCAAGGTGGGATCTATTGTAGGGCATGACGGTGGATCATTTAACCCTGGGCCTCAAATTTAAACTGCGGACATTCTCTTAAATGAGATTATAGATTCAGCAAGAGATACACTGAAAGCGTTGAAAGAACACATTCACATGTAGCTTTAAATTTGTGTCCAATTTCCAGACCCTACACAGACTGCAGAATACCATGAATTAATATTTTTAAATAAACCCTATAACTAGCTTGTGAATAAGATGATTAAACTTTTTGTGTGTGCATGGGGGCACCAGGGTGGCTCAGTCCGTTAAGCGTCTGACTTCAGCTCTGCTCATGATCTCAGGGTCCTGGGATGGAGCCCCATGTGGGGGGGTGGGGGGAGGTCCCCAGGGTCTCCGCTCAGTGGGGAGTCTGCCTGTCCTTCTCCCTCTGCCCCTCCCCCTGCTCATGCCTCTCGGACTCCCTCTCTCTCTCTCAAATAAACAAAATCTTAAAAAAAAAAAACCTTTGTGTGTGCATTAAAGGCATTAATTTGTTGAATGTAAACCCTTAAAATCCATAATTTCTGTAATTCTACTGTAGAATTTTACTTTTTATATACCAACAACCTAAAGGCCCTTTCAAGACTTCCAGCCTATAACAAGCAGAGCACTCCAGATGTGGCCTTGAGCGTGAGGAATCCCTGCCTGGTGGTTTGGGTGAGCAGCTGCAATTCCTCTATTTAGAGCTCACGGTAGTACAAGGAACCATTTTTCACATTTTCCACTTCTATGATTTCTTTTCATATTTTAACATCTCTGAAGTGAGGATGCCTCTTGTAATTAATGGCATCTTACACTGCTTCCAGTCAAGTAGCAATTGGGACGTAACTGTCATTGCCTGCTCATGAGCAAATTATCAGACATCAAAATTGGCCAAACAGCTGTCAGCAGTCTGGAAGAAAATCCTAGAGACTACACCTGAACCCCGAGAACCAATATTTAAGGGACGGTGAATCCTATATGTTTAGCAATGTTCCCCCATCTGGGAGCCAAACACAGGCCGGTTCCACATAACCACTAAGCCAGGTAAAAACTCAGCACCAAGGCCTTTCCTCCTTTTTTAAAGAATGCCAAATCCTCAAAGCTCTTGACAGCTCAAGGAAAACAGTATGTGGAAAAACACAGAAACCAACACCGAGTTGAAAAGAGTGTAAGCCTCTGTAGGTGAAGAAGTTTTAACAAACTTATTTCACTTATATTGTCCTTTTTAAGTGTGTATAAGAGTTCTTTGATAAAAATCAACGTTTAATTAGTCTACAAGCTCTTCCAATAAGAATAAAAAATAAATTCTACTGTATCAGTGCTCTCTTGGTCCTTTTTGGTGGGTTAGAATATGAAACAGGAAGTCTTAAAGGTGACAGTAATTTAGAATCACCAAAATACAGTATTCATTTACTGCTGGTGCAGATAATGTCATACACACAGTGAGCCCTGTCATCACAAAGCCCACCGAGCCTTCTGGCGCCTCACAGTGTCATTCCTCAGCCTTCCTCTGTGTTTCTCTCTTTTTCACTCCTTTCCTGAAGGATGGGATGCTGGTTTCTGCCCCACTGTGGGACTCTGATGTGTATACTGTTCGCCCTCTGCCCCTCTGATGCCGGTCACTCAGGCTTACAGCTCTCCTGGTTACTTTCATTGTAATCTCTCCTTTTCCCCAAACTACTTTCTCACCACCTGACCAAAAGACAGAAGTGAGATATGTACATGGACGTACACAAGCTCGACAGTTTTATTTCGTTGTTCTGAAGCAAAGAAAATATTTACATTTCTTGCTCAAAGAAAATTACTACAAAATTAAAATACTCAAAATTATGGTACAAATGAATTAGCAGGAAGGCGTAATAGGATGGAGAATCAAAACCAGGTGTAAGAACAGCAGAAGTGGTTGTCTGCAGACCTACTATATTTAGAACAGTAGGCACAAAATCATCTCATTTAAATTTACAACACATTAACCGGACATTTTTAATTCTACTCTTAAGTAACTTTCCTATGATCACATAAGGCAATGAATGAGAGACCCAATTTAAAAGCAGGTATAATTTAAAGCTCAGGCTTTCTTTAGTATATCAGAAATTGGAAAACACGAAATTCATAATGAAATGGCACACTTAACTACAATTGTATAATGCAAACACTCACACACAATGTGTCTTTAAATTACCTGGCTTGGGGGCACCTGGGTGGCTGTCGGTTAAGCGTCTGCCTTCGGCTCAGGTCATGATCCCAGGGTCCTGGGATCGAGCCCCGCATTGGCCTCCCTGCTCCGCGGGAAGCCTGCTTCTCCCTCTCCCGCTCCCCCCTGCTTGTGTTCCCTCTCTTGCTGTCTCTCTCTCTGTCAAATAAATAAATAAAATCTTTAAAAAAAAAAAAATTACCTGGCTTGGGGACGTATCTGTGGAGGAGGCCGGTGCAAACGTCTTCTCTAAAGTCTCAGGCAAAGAGTGATACATGTCCTTCTCTTCCAGCTTCCAGTAAGTCAGTCCTATCGCACACAAATACACAGAAGACTGAGGAAAGAGAATAAAAATGCTTTCTAGGAAAACTTATTTCTACTTAAAGAAAATTAAATATGGGAAGTAACTAGTTTTAGGTCTATATGGGAAGTTGAATTTTGATGGCATAGATGCTCTTAATTGCCTTACTATGTAAGAGTTCTAATTTAATGATCCAAATACTTAAAACTGAAATATATTATTAAAAGGCAAGATATGGGGCGCCTGGCTGGCTCAGGCGATAGAGCATGTGACTTTTGATCTCAGGGTTGTGAGTTCAACCCCATGTTGGGTGTAGAGATTATTAAAAAAAAAATAAACTTAAAAAAAGTCAAGATAAACTAGTGCAATCTAAAATATATCTCTTAAAAGACAACAATTTCTTTATGAGCAGTACAGAAAAAGCAACATAAAGAATTCAATGGTTCAAATACATATTGAGTGTTTACTGTGCCAGGCTGGGGAGCAGGAAATGTGAGACGTGAACAGTAAATAAATCACAAGGTATACCCAGTAGGCTAGAAGGCGGTAAGCACCCTAATGGTTAAGATTTAAAAATCCAGTAACACGGAATATGTAGTGTGTGTGGAGGGGTGCTCAAGATTGGCTCACTGCAAGGTAACAAGATAGAGTAAAAGCATTTTAGCCATGTATGAGGGAGGTTCCCTATATAAGAGGTGGGGAGAACATTTCAAATATAGGAAGCAGCAAAGCAAAAGCTCTAAAAGGAGAACGTATCGGGGCACCTGGGTGGCTCAGTCGTAAAGCGTCTGCCTTCGGCTCAGATCATGGTCCCGGGGTCCTGGGATCGAGCCCCGCATCGGGCTCCCTGCTCGGCGGGAAGCCTGCTTCTCCCTCTCCCACTGCTTGTGTTCCTTCTCTCGCTGTGCCTCTCTCTGTCAAATAAATAAATAAAATCTTTTTTTTTAAGATTTTATTTGACAGAGAGAGAGACAGGCAGAGAGGGAACACAAGCAGGGGAAGTGGGAGAGGGAGAAGCAGGCTTCCTGCGGAGCGGAGAGCCCGATGCGGGGCTCGATCCCAGGACCCTGGGACCATGACCCGAGCCGAAGGCAGACGCTTAACGACTGAGCCACCCAGGCACCCCATAAATAAAATCTTAAAAAAAAAAAACATATCTGGCACATTTAAGCAAACAGCCTCTCTGCTGAAGCAGAGAAAGGGAATAGCAGAAAATGAGGTCAGGGGCACCTAGGTGGCTCAGTCGTTGGGCGTCTGCCTTCGGCTCGGATCATGATCTCAGGGTCCTGGGATCGAGCCCCGCATCGGGCTCCCTGCTCGGCGGGAAGCCTGCTTCTCCCTCTCCCACTGCTTGTGTTCCTTCTCTCGCTGTGCCTCTCTCTGTCAAATAAATAAATAAAATCTTAAAAAAAAAAGAAAATGAGGTCAAACAGAGCAAGGCTAGATCTTGCTGGGCCTGTGGGTGCCTATAAAGACTCTGGCTGCTCTTCTGAGGGAAAGAGCACAGCAGGGTTTTGAGCAGAGAAGTCACATGATCTGACCTAGCTTTAACAAGGATCCTAGAGGCTACTGTGTTGAGAACAGATGGAAGGGTGCCAGGATGAGGGCAGGGAGGCTGGGCAGGAAGCTGCAGAACCCCAGGTGACAGGTGATGGGAGCTCTCTGAGGGTGAGAACATGACGGTGGTTCAGTTCTGGCAATTTTCAGCCTGCAATGCTAATTCATCCTGACAAACTGGATGTGGGATTGTGGGGGAGAAAAATCAGTACGTTACATCATTGAAACTAAAATAAGCTTACCATGGAGAGTAAAGAATGGTTCACAAAAAGGGTTTGAATTTCTTAATTCATTCTGGAGCACCTGGAAAATGCTGAGATGACTTTGCAACTGTTTGAAATAACTGTAAAAGTATTTTTTCCATCTATCTTTACAGAATGTGTAACAAATTAATGCAAGAAGTCAGACTTAGCAGAGGCACAACACAACATATAACAGATTTACAGAAACTCCTCTATTACACTATATAGAATCATCCTCCTATTAGAAATGCAGATAAGTTGTTATAAAAAAATAAGTATCATACCTGTTCCTGAATCAGACATCCAAGAATTTGGACTCTCATCTGGTTTATTGAGGTAAAAAGCATGAGGCTGCTTAGCAGCAGTGAAATTAGACTACAAGGCAAGAGAGAAAACTATTAGTTGACAGCTGAAAATCATTAGGCACAAACTGCTGACCCAAGGAATGAGAGCCAGGTGTCAAACCCCGGTGTAGAGAAAGTCTCAGACGGTTCATGAAGAAGTAAGAAAGCCTGTTTTTCCCCGTGATTACAAGAATGCAAAATAATAGGAATTAACCGTGAAGGGTTTTCTTTTCCTGTGTGTTTACAAAAGTTTATTTTGGTTCTGTAGAACCGGAAGAACAACACTGGCACCTGGAGCTACTTAATGAGTTCAGAATGACAATGTATTTATAATTTGCCAGCTACATCCAAAAGAAATTCAAAGTGCCTGGAATTAAAGTCATTTAGTGTAAAAATTAATGTGAAAGCCCTAACAATTCATTTTTATCATTAAAAGTACAATAATTCGGGGGCGCCTGGGTGGCTCAGTCATTAAGCGTCTGCCTTCGGCTCAGGTCATGATCCCAGGGTCCTGGGATCGAGCCCCTGGTAGGGCTCCCTGCTCAGCGGGAAGCCTGCTTCTCCCTCTCCCACTCCCCCTGCTTGTGTTTCCTCTCTCGCTGTGTCTCTCTGTCAAATAAATAAAATCTTTAAGAAAAAAAAAGTACAATAATTCAAACTCTGAAAATGGCATTCAGTAATCTATATGAACTTCAAGTAGTAAACTATGTCTTACAGATAGGCAACTGGTTACTAATCCCAGAAAAGGCTCGAAATGCTTGCTTATCATCAATTCTAATAAAAATTCTGAGCTAACGGCAGGTCATGATCCTGGAGTCCCTGGATCGAGTCCCGCGTCGGGCTCTCTGCTCGGCGGGGAGCCTGCTTCTCCCTCTGACCCTCCCCCCTCTCATGTACTCTCTCTCT